GCTTTGCTAAAATCTCAATGGGATTTTCAGACAAGAAAATTGCGTTCATAACGAGGCTGGAGTTTTGACGTATAAAGTCGTGCTTCAATTAGAGATTTGTCTAACAAAAAAGTCTTTGCTTGCAGGAGTGTGAAGGCTCGGAAATTATTAGTATGTAATGAGATTGGGTATTTCGGAATACACGAATTATTGAGATACAACATTTTCCCATGATGGGAGTTGAAGTTATAGGGAAGGAAATAAGAAAGTTACGAATATGTTGTATTTGGGTGACTCGGGTATGAGAGCTACGCTAATCTAATGTTTGAGGGTTTGACATATAATTTTGTTTGTTTGTTTGTTTTTGAATTTCGCTCAAAGCTACACGAGGGCTATCTGCGCTATCCGTCCCTAATTTAGCAGTGTAAGACTAGAGGGAAGGCAGCTAGTCATCACCACCCACCGCCAACTCTTGGGCTACTCTTTTACCAACGAATAGTGGGATTGACCGTCACTTATAACGCGCCCACGGCTGAAAGGGCGAGCATGTTTGATGTGACAGGGATTCGAATTGACATATAAACGATTCGTTGTGATGGGACTGGAGGTTTGAGATATACAGTTGGCGCCAGCGATGAGGTTGCAATATCATTACAATATCAAAGTGTTTAGAATTTGATAATGAAGTAACATGACCACGTTTCCTTTATACTTGTCGCATATATGGTGGGAGATTTTGTAGTCACAAGGTTGTCGAGAGTGGAAAACAAATTTATTAGTAGAAGGCCTCTTTATAAGTGATGTTATATCAAGTTGCAAGTTGAGGATATGTGGAAATTGAATATTTATTTACAAAATTATAAGAGGTTATCGTAGAGAAAACCTTAGCTTAATAGAACCCAAAACCAGAATTATTAACCCCTTATACTGATAAGTAATTTCTATATAGATGGTAGAATGCACTGGTTGTTTATACTTTACAATTTGGCCCGGCATAGTCAGGTGGTTAGGGAACTCGACTCGCAATCTGAGGGGCGTGGGTTCGAATCCCCGTCACACCAAACATGCTCGCCCTTTCAGCCGTGGGGGCGTAATAATGTGACGGTCAATCCCACTATTCGTTGGTAAAAGAGTAGCCAGTGGGTGGTGATGACTAGCTGCCTTCCATCTAGTCTTACACTGCTAAATTAGGGACGGCTAGGGCAGATAGTCCTCGTGTAGCTTTGCGCGAAATTCAAAACAAACCAAACTTCACTGCAGAATATTTTTATTGAAGCTAAACTGTTTAATATTATTAACAAATATTCATTTATAGTCCATTAACATTCAGTTACAACACAATCTAATCTGTGTATCTGTTGGTTGAGATTCACCATCTTCTTGTATACAGACACATATTCAAAAGACGTGGTTATCTGTGCTGTTTCCGAAACTCACTATGTTTCTTGTTACTTAACTATATTTTTTTTTGTTTTAGGAACTTCTCTTGTATCACAGTTCCGTTATTTTTCTTCAGTTCTGGCGTTCATTTCAATCCCCGAAACACGCTGCTCGTAACATGGCATCAAGCTTCAGAAGCTCCACGCCCTTTTTTTTGTCATCCCGCACTCTTTTCGTTTGGTGAATTCCTTTCTCTTACTTTTGCTCTTCGCGTTCTTCTCTCGAATGTTTCCAAAAAGGAATCAAAAAGAGTATATTAAAGAATCATGGGCAACCTTCAGTCATGAGCTCAGTCTCTGTTATACTTCACTGTGACGAAGTAGAGAAAGAACGAGAAAAGAGAAAGAAAAAAAGTATAAAAGAATGAGATATTTCGCGTAGGTACATGTGAATCAATCAAGACCTGGAAACACGGAAACTTAGAGGAGTTTTTGAGAACAAAGAGTTTTCCACAATAAAGCTACAAGGTTCTTTTGGAACCCAGAGTCCTGTATTTATCAAATCTAATTTTTTTTTTCAAGTGGATGTCCTTTAACTTTTCCTTTTTTTTTACCTTTTGCCATTAATTTATTTACGGATCAATAAAATTATCCGAAAGACAATATAAAATTTGAGAAAATTATGTTCTAATATTTCTCTGTATGTACGTTACAAATCGTATGGAGCGTAAGCACAGAACTGAAGAAAACAACAACAAAATAAAACAAATCTGAAGCTTTTTTGGGACATTTAAGTAATAAAAAAAAGCAACATTTACCAGGAAAATAAGCGGTGACTATCAGAAGCTAGTTACATACGCACGTGTGTGTGTATGTATGAGTATTTGTTATAGAAAAGAAAAAAAAACTGAGAATTTTCCAATACTTTCATAGGGAATATATAGAAATGTTACAAGAGGTTACAGGAAATAGAAAAATTATCAAAAGGATATCGCAAATCTTCTCAAAATAACTCTTTATTGATGCTATCGAAAATTCTTCACCAAGTGGTACTAGAAAATTATGGACCGTCTATCTTGTCATTGCAAAGAAACTTACAAAATGTAAACATAATGGACTGAAAATGATTGGGCTAGGTGTGGCATAGTGGTTAACGTTTGAGCTGGCGATCGAAGGGTCCGGGGTTCGAGACGCAATTATACAGAACTCTTTCGTGCTTTCTGCTGTGGGCTCGTTATAAAAGCCCCCCCCCACCCCCCAGTGGCACAGCGGTATGTCTGCGGACTTACAACGCTAGAAACTGGGTTTCGATACCCGTGGTGGGCAGAGCACAGATAGCCCATTGTGTAGCTTTGTGCTTAACTTCAAACAAAAAATCATTATAAAAGTAACTGTTAATCGTGTCATTCGGTTCAAAGACCTGGATAAAGCCCTTATGGCGGCGGGCGCTAATGACTGACTAGTAACCTTCCTTCTCTTCATTAGTTCATAATTAGAGGTATTGAACATAGTATCAAGGGCATGTATAGTTACAACGACTAGCTCTTGCCCCATGAATATCATTCAGTAACTCACACGAAACTTTAGAATATTGCAGAGAGACCTGACCAGCTGCTGTTTTGGGTTATTTGTACATCGAGTCGTATACAAGTCGTTCAAAAATAAAACGTTTTTTTTTCTTTTAATACACATCTCTGCTCGTGTTATGTGAGCGTCTGACACCACGCCATTAATTTTTTCATTAACTGTTCGTCATACTTGCTAAATAGCAGAATCGTATTTCCCGCACTTGTTAACGCCCCAGGAAGCTCGTGAGTGGCGCACGTGACATCTGTTTGTCAATCCGCAGTGACCTTCAACTAAAGAGTGTTGGCTAACTACTGTGCGTGGAAACGATTCATTAAATTCAAAAAGAGGATTGATAGAAGGGAACGGAGAAGTGTTATCTGACCTGTCATAGTTCTTATGAGCCAACATCGCAGTTTGAACTGATGAAAATGAAGACCAGTTAATAAAGTCTTAGCAGGATCAACACATTGCACTACGCAGGCTTAAGAATAAAAGCACATAGACATTCCCTCAATCTGTTGTTATAAAAACATAGGAGTTATTCTACTACACAAAAATCAAACTAACCAGCTCCATTTTGTAAAATGTTGTTCTCTAAGTCTAAAAGCTATCCCACAATGCAGGCTGAGACATAGATTCGCACAAACCAACCCAATTTGGTTATATTTTATTGCCAAAGCCTAGAAGTTGTCCTCCGAACTGGCCTTAACCACTTCGGGGCCTTAGGCAATATACAAAGTGCAGGACCCTTCATAATGTATTACAGCATAACAGAAACTGTGTAACAGAACGATGTGTTAATGGGCCAACTGTACGGATTTTGGGTTTTGCAGCTACATGTTTAAGATCGAATCACTTATAAACATATTCACACAGGCCCTCCAGAACGAGGGGCCTTAAGATCGGCTATGCCTATCCTGACAAAATGCTAACCTCTTGACGTTAATTTTTACTTTGAAGAAAGAAGATGCTGCCGTAAATACGATTCTTAATGCCTTAAATGAAATGAATTGAAATTTAATTCACACTCATGTAAACGTATCTTCTCACAAATTTCCAATTTGTCCTTAAGAGCAGTAGTTTCCAAGTTGGGGGAGGGGGAAGGTGAAACGTTGTTGATGTTGAACATTATCCTCTGATATTGAAGTCCTAGACTAGAGGAAAGACAGCTTGTCAATACAACTCACCGCCAACTCGTGGGCTACTCTAATCAAGTAGTGGGATTTGACCGTCATTCTTATAACGCAACCACGGCTCCAAAATATGGAGCACGATTTTCACTTTTTGATGGTAATGAGGCGCAGAACGTATCATGAGAGTCAGTAAGAAAATTCAGGAAAAAAAATTATTCACTGTAGTTAATAAAGCGAAGTCAGCTCTCACATATTCGACCACAAATGTTTTTTTTTGTGGGAGGTGGGGGGGGGGAGAGGTTGTAAAACGTTTGAGTACCACTGCCTTAGAGGAAACCTTTCAATGTAAATAAAATTACTTACATTCAATTTAAATTCCAAATAATGCAGGGAAAGGCAAACTAGAATATCCAGTTTTCCCGAGATTCAGCATGAACTCCACATGAAAATTATTTTATTCTTCAGATAAATCTTTACTGACTGATTTTTTTCTGTCTCTCCCATGTGGAAATGTTATCTTTTGAAATTTAGAGTATGGTCACAGATAAATAATTTTTACTTTCGGAATTACAGAGATTAATACAGAGCTGGGTCAAGGGTCAAAGTTACACCAGTAGTGAAAGTAGAGTATGTTTCGAGAAGTATCTTCCATATAGTGTTTGGAGGCTATATTTTCTCAGTAAATATTCTGGACCTGGTCGAGTTTCGCACCTAATTAGGGAAAATATCGTTTTTAAAAATAATAATAATACAGAATCAATTCCACTCTTATATTCTATACTGGAAGTGTTCAGTGCTGCAAACAACCTAAAACATTGCAAGACAGCAGCAGAATTAATAACCAATATCTAATCGATAAATCTTGCAAGATATTGTTGGCAGTAAGTGCTTAATGGGATTAATAACATTCGAACACGCCGCAGGTTAAGACTAAAACCAGTTTTTAAATAACAACACATTTCTTCTGGAGCAATTTTACTATCTTGACGATTCCTGCACGTTACCGGCTTTTTTCATCTCCGCGTGGGGTCATTTCCAATTTGCACAACCATCATGGATAGTTCCAGGAGGAATGGAAACAGAATATGTTACTCAACGTATGTACCTTGTGCCCTACAGTAACGATATGGCGCATAATCTTGAACATAGAATCAACAGGTCGTGTCCAGGCTTTGTTAAGAAACCTTGGAGATCCTACAAGAAATACCTCGTGTATAGCTACATCGAAATTAATCATCACAGTAAAGGAAATGACGTCATAGAAGTGGTTGAAGATATTGACTGCTTGATGTCCTTGCACGTTAGCCTCAACGAGCTACAACTGATGCGTGTAGAACATAGAAAACCTTTTCACCATCGACATCGACCGAGAAACATGCGTACTGAACTGTTTCTAGGCGACATTCACACTCGATACCACCAGAGGGAGCGATATCGTCCTACTAGCTACCAACCACCCCTTTTGAAAACAGAGGTAAGATTAGTGCTACAGTTTATTGGAATGATATCAACATGTGCATGATTTTATAAAATTGTCATTTATATGATTGCCTAAGATTTAATATACACATATTTATCTTTATATATGTATGACGTGTGTTTATTTAATGTGTTCAGTGAGAAGCTAAGTATGAACTGTAACTATATGTAATTTGACAGTGAGATACGACTTCAAGGCGTATGTGGACAGGTATCAGTTGTCAGCGTGGGGACACATTTTAATTTTGTAAACTGTAAGTGACAGGTATAGTTCGGTGCATTATTTTTTCATGATCAGTTTTACTTCCTGGATTGAGGCCGAGCGTGGCCTAGTGGTTAGCGTTCACGGAATGTGAATCCGATAATACATAGTTTACGGCCCATTGCTGCAGAAATGCCCTCCGTATTTTGGGCCACGGATGCGCTATAGAAGTGACACTCATATCCCAATATTCGTCAATATTTGATCAGACAAGAGCAGCCCAAAGCAGTGGTGCTATTGATTAGCTGGTTTCTTTCCCTTTAGATTGGCTGTCAGTTCAAAATTAGGGACTGTTATGCGCAGGTGGCCCCTTGTGCAACTTTGCGGAATATTTTGAAACAAACCTAGCTTCTTGGATTACAAGTATACTGAAGGGCCATGCAATGAATCTGTTTAGATTAAAGCTGGTCAAGCTGACTCTCATTTTTTTAAGCTTAGTGAATTTCTAAGAGTAAAAGTTATTACACCACTTTCTGTCGAGGCGTTGTGTTGTAGAACATCGCAACGGATGGAGTTTTTGGCCTCATTATTATATTCTGGGATGAGAAAAGTCCATTTAGAATATGTGACGTAAACAACACGTGTTGAGCAGGAAGATACTGCTTGAATTTTGAGAGTCCTGACCTAGTGCCTAACGAAACTGTCATGTTAAAATAAAATCAGAATTTTAAGCTGTAACATTTCCCGATTTACTGTATTTTTAAGGCTTAATTCCAACGAAATGAGATACTACAACATAAAAAGATTCAGCTACAATTTCTATGGTAGATGCGAAGAAGTAGTTAAACATAAATAAAGGAGTAAAACAATGTTAGGATACTGAATAAGATGTTCAGAATTTTCGCGAATAGTCATCCCTAATTTGGAACTGATAGACTAGGTGAAAGGCTGTTAGTAAACAGCACCTACCGCTAACTCTTGGGATACTCTTGTCTGACTAAATACTGAGATTTTACCCGTCACTTTTAGAGCACACTCACGACCCTAAAGTGCGGAGCGTGTTTTTGCGGTAACGGGCCACGAAGCGTTATATCTTAGATTCTCAATCCGAGCACGCAAATCATCAGGTCTGTCATAGGATAGTACATTCGGTATTTCACATATCCAGAGTAGTCAAATTTAGAAGCTTGTTTATTTCTTTGTTCTGTCAGAAAATCCTATAATTCAGTAACAAGAGGTTCATAAGAAATACATTTGTTGTTTTTCGTTCAGTATAAAGTCATTAGTTCATCAGTAGTACGGCAAGAACTAATTTTGGTGTGATAATAGTTCAGTGCCAAAAAAAAATCAACAAGATAAACGAATTAGCGTTTCAAACAAGAGTTTTTTTTTACCATCAACGATGCGTAATAAAGAAAACAACCGAAAAGCAAGCTTTGAAGATGAAATAAAAAAAGGGAAAAAAGTCAACTTTAACACAAGCGCACTTGTTTGGATATTTTTTTTTTTTACAACACGAGAAAGTGTCTTAAGTAGAATTATCTTACCCAGCCCAAAAACGTACTTGATAGCAATAAGATGTAGAAGTGGGAAATCAAACTATAACATCTGGCGTCTAATGACAAAATAATCTTGCTTGTCTAGCGTTTTCGGCGCATACACGGTTTTAGTGTTGTGTAGAGTAGTGGCGGTAAGCTGAGCCTAATCAAGTTGGAGAAGGTTGGTTTGTTTTCCCGCGTCTCATCAGTCAACTTCAATCAGAAAGAGAAAGAGGCTGTTACAGAGAATACTGTAATCATCTGATGTTGATTGACAATGCGGTTAACAAGGTAGACGTTTAACAAATCTCGTTTTGCAGAAGACACTAAAAGCAAGTTTTGCCCGTTTCTGATGATGAAACATCCAAAACAAGTGCTTTAAGTGCTAAAGAAAAAAATTACTGGATGTACGATTTTGTTAAGATTTTAACCCTAGTAATTTAATTAGAAAGGTCTGATAAGCTCCTTCTTGAACACCCCCACCCTTCTATTTACTTCCTACTCAATGAACTCTATAGTCCACTCAACTAGATGTATAATACAACAAACAGGAGCTTCATATTGTGATTTTATTTATCAATTATTTTAGATAAGGAATTATTCTTTAAAATATTTAAATTCACGTTGTTAAATTTTTTGTAGCGCTTTTACAACCTGATAATTACTCACCAGTTTTTAAGATATAATCGATTGCAAACACTAGTTTATTTTAAACTATGAAGTTGTTAAAGCTCTAAAAAAAACTTATACAACTTGAATTAGAATATTTTTTTAAGAATAAATATTTAATTTCAAACAAAGGTTGATATTTACTTACTTATCAGGCAGGCGGAGGCACTGTCTATGTAGGGATGGCTCGGATTGTTCACCGAAATGTTATTTTAAATATCTCCTCAACAGGTCATCAGAACTTTACAATACTATACAGTGTTTCCTTTTATAACAATGTCTATATAATGACTGAGTCACGAGTTCTGGGAATGTCTGTAAATATCATACATGATAAATCAAAAACCAAAACAATAGTGTCAACCAATTTCACTGAGGTGACATAGTTTCTATCAGAATATCCGCTTTTATAACTATTATTAATAACTAGTAGTAATTAAAAAATAACAGTAACGATTCTAATTTAAACGATGTATCATTACCTCTTGAAGATAGCTTTCTTACAGAAATCTGTTGTTCCTTTAAAAAGCTTAAATTCAGGGTGAAACAGGAATTACCAGCCTATAACAGATAAACAATAAATATTATAGTTGGAACCTCATTTTACTTAGAACCTAGTTTTAAATACAACCTTCCCATGTCTGTTGGAACACTGCATTAAAAGAACAACAACAAGCAAACAAGTAAAGAAAAACTTTTCAAAAAAGGAAGTAAATATAGGGATGGCTAGCACCAATCCTTAAAAAACAATGCAAACAAGATAGTAGGGATGGCATTTGCACCATCATTACATAATAGCACGGACAAGAATTTATATATAGCAACGTATATAAATATTCAATCACAATTGAGTTTAATTTATCTTAGTTTTGTCTGTTAACATTCTACTACACCATGTGCCTGTGCTATTATTTAGGGATGAAGCAAATGCCATCCCTACTATCTTGTTTACATTGTTTTTGAAAGATTGATATTAGCCATCCCCACAGTTACTTCCTTTTTTGAAAGGTTTTTCTTTTCTTGTTGTATATATTATACAAATACCTATAGATACATTAGAGATTTAAAATAAATGGACAAAACAAGAAAAAATGAAATATTAGAACAGATGGCAAAAATCCACTGAACATCTCGGAGAAGGGACCCGTTTCATCACTGACGTTTCGTTATTTCCGCCAAACTTCACAGGAGAACACATTCATGCAAGAATAAATGCAAATAATGTCATAATATCCCGTGTACTAAGGCAGCTGGCGATGACGAGGAGGGAGTATACTCCTGATGAGCCTCTTCTTCGGGATGTTGAATGGATTTTGTTATCTGTCCTATAATGTTGAATGGATTTTGTTATCTATCCTATAATGTCGAATGGATTTTGTTATCTGTCCTATAATGTTGAATGGATTTTGTTATCTGTCCTATAATGTCGAATGGATTTTGTTATCTGTCCTTTAATGTTGAATGGATTTTGTTATCTGTCCTATAATGTCGAATGGATTTTGTTATCTATCCTATAATGTCGAATGGATTTTGTTATCTGTCCTATAATGTTGAATGGATTTTGTTATCTGTCCTATAATGTTGAATGGATTTTGTCATCTATCCTATAATGTCGAATGGATTTTGTTATCTGTCCTATAATGTTGAATGGATTTTGTTATCTGTCCTATAATGTCGAATGGATTTTGTTATCTGTCCTATAATGTTGCATGGATTTCGTTATCTGTCCTATACTGTTGAATGGATTTTGTTATCTGTCCTATAATGTCGAATGGATTTCGTTATCTGTCCTATAATGTTGAATGGATTTTGTTATCTGTCCTATACTGTTGAATGAATTTCGTTATCTATCCTATACTGTTGAATGGATTTCGTTATCTATCCTATACTGTTGAATGGATTTTGTTATTTGTCCTATAATGATTTTATTGTGAGTGAGATATTTCCTATTTTTCCATTTATTTGAAATATATCATTTAAATAGCATTATTGGAGTCAGGTCGGGCGTGGCCTACGAATTAGTGTGCTCGGACTGTGAATTTTCAGCTTTCAGTCCGCAAACACACGTCAAACCGTATTATATGATTAGAAACGTATAGCCCAACAGTTGGTGGTAGATGCTGTTAAATGTCTTCCAACTAGTCCATCAGCTCAAAATTACGAACGGCTGTAGCCATTATGTAGCTTTGCGCGAAATTCTGAAACAAACCTTACTGGAGTTTTGAATGTTCTTATCACATTAATATCTAAAACAATAACTCCTGAGTAATATGTGTTGACCTTTACTTAAAACTAAGATAATGAGATTAATACAGTTAATGATTAAATCCATCTCAGTTTTAACACATTGGATACGGTAGATAGAGGTTTAAAAATGTTCCAAGCAGCATTGCTCTTATAGTACGTATAAAATAAAAACGAAACTTAAAATCGGGTATGTACGACTATTCTCCTAAACTTTACTACAACATTAGAGTGAAACAAGCATTTTGATGTAAAGTTAATATTTGTGGGCATTAAACTTGAACGTAGCTAATAACGTATAGATAGGAAAAATAATAATTGCACATGTTTTTGCAAAAAAAA